AGGCTAATAATGACACTCGAAATCTGAACAACCTGAGGAGGAGGAGGAGGAGGAGGAGGAGGAGGAGGAGAAGAAGAAGAAGAAGAAGAAGAAGAAGAAGAAGAAGATAATACTGGAAGGATCCATTTCTGAGAGTTGCAGACTTATCCTCTTGGGGAGTTCCACATTTGTGCTAAAGGAGTCTCTTCCTCCCTCCTTTTTGTAATCCTTTTTAAAGGGACCCAAACAAAACATTTTCTTAAGTCCAGAAGCAATTATCTCCTTTGTAAAACATTTTGTGTTTTAACAAAAAAGGTGGTGAGTCATTAGAAGAAAACATACACAATCGTGTGTGTGTGTGTGTGTGTGTGTCCTGGTGCTGCCTTCCTCCTCCTCCCCTGTGTCACATGGCACTTAATGGAAGAGTATTTTCTGGTGCAATGTGTCATATTTCAAACACTTACTGGATGGATTCATTGCTAATCCTCAGCCGCTTTCTTTAATGCATACTCTGAGTCCATTACAGATGGAAAACTGGTCTAATGAGAAGAGGTTCGAAGAGCCAGACCTCTGTTTGCCTCATAAAACTGCCACTGACAACAGTTGGCACTCAGTTGCACTCAGTGTGGTGTAGTGGTTAAGAGCGGTAGTCTCGTAATCTGGGGAACCGGGTTTGAGTCTCCGCTCCTCCACATGCAGCTGCTGGGTGACCTTGGGCCAGTCACACTTCTTTGAAGTCTCTCAGCCCCACTCACCTCACAGAGTGTTTGTTGTGGGGGAGGAAGGGAAAGGAGAATGTTAGCCGCTTTGAGACTCCTTAAAGGGAGTGAAAGGCGGGATATCAAATCCAAACTCTTCTTCTTCTTCTTCTTGGATAGGAGGGCAGACCCTCTTCTGTGAAAAGTTCAGCCGCCATCAAGTCAGTTCTCTGGAGGAAGAATTATGTGGCAGGAGCTGCCTTTTCCTTCTGGCTTAGAAATGGTTGCTTGCTCTGTCCTGGATCTGGATTTGGGGTGAGGGAAAAGTGCTTCCAGGCAGAGTGAGACATCTTGTTGTTGTTTAGTTGTTTAGTCATGTCCGACTCTTCATGACCCCATGGACCAGAGCACGCCAGGCACTTCTGTCTTCCACTGCCTCCCGCAGTTTGGCCAAACTCATGCTGGTAGCTTCGAGAACACTATCCAACCATCTCGTCCTCTGTCGTCCCCTTCTCCTTGTGCCCTCCATCTTTCCCAACATCAGGGTCTTTTCCAGGGAGTCTTCTCTTCTCATGAGGTAGCCAAGGTATTGGAGTCTCAGCTTCACGACCTGTCCTTCCAGTGAGCACTCAGGGCTGATTTCCTTCAGAATGGAGAGGTTTGATCTTCTTGCAGTCCATGGGACTCTCAAGAGTCTCCTCCAGCACCATAATTCAAAAGCATCAATTCTTCAGTGATCAGCCTTCTTTATGGTCCAGCTCTCACTTCCATACATCACTACTGGGGAAAACATAGCTTTAACTATATGGACCTTTGTCGGCAAGGTGATGTCTCTGCTTTTTAAGATTCTGTCTAGGTTTGTCATTGCTTTTCTCCCAAGAAGCAGGCGTCTTTTAATTTCGTGGCTGCTGTCACCATCTGCAGTGATCATGGAGCCCAAGAAAGTAAAATCTCTCACTGTCTCCATTTCTTCCCCTTCTATTTGCCAGGAGGTGATGGGACCAGTGGCCATGATCTTCATTTTTTTTGATGTTGAGTTTCAGACCATATTTTGCGCTCTCCTCTTTCACCCTCATTAAAAGGTTCTTTAATTCCGCCTCAGTTTCTGCCATTAAGGTTGTGTCATATTTGAGGTCGTTGATATTTCTTCCGGCAATCTTAATTCCGGCTAGGGATTCATCCAGCCCAGCCTTTTACATGATGAATTCTGCATATAAGTTAAATAAGCAGGGAGACAATATACAGCTTTGTCGTACTCCTTTCCCAATTTTGAACCAATCAGTTGTTCCATATCCAGTTCTAACTGTAGCTTCTTGTCCCACATAGAGATTTCTCAGGAGACATCTAGACATCTAGAACTACCATAGACATCAGGGGGCAGGTGAAGTATAATTCCATCAAGCCCTCTTCTGTGAGAATAACAACTACCCATCAACTAATGTGAGCATCCCGTGAGCCACTTGCTATAATGCCCATCCCAGGAGCTCCTTGGTTTCATGGCTTCCTCCCATGGATGGCCACCCATCTTCCTGAGTTGCAGCTCCGTGGCAAGGACCCCTTCCTTTCCATTGTACAGCTTTCCTGGCTGGCTGCTGCAGATAGTCCTTGGGAAAATTAGTGTTGGCACTAAGAGTTCAGTATTGTCAAGTGCTGCCTACTTCCCCCCGCTGTGCTACAATATTTGTTTCCTTTGGAGGAGAGAGTGCATTGAACAAAGGCATATTTTTCAATAGCACATTTGTACCCCACCCTTCAGCCAAAAGGCTACCAGAATGGCTTGCACGCAGTTGATTAAAACATTATAGTTCATACCTGCAGGTTTACAATCTATAAACACAACACACAAGGGAAAAGAGATGTGGAGGGAAGAGGGAAAAAGTACTTAGGTACCAGTTCTGATCTGTTCCAGAGTATAGGGGACCCTCCAGAACAGTGCAGAAGACAGTCCAAATAATAATTTAATAACAATAATAATTTTATTATTTATATTCTTCCCATCTGACTGGGTTGCCCCTATAAAATATTAAAAACACCAAGCATTAAAAACTTCCCTATACAGGGCTGCCTTCAGACATCTTCTAAATGTTGAATAGTTGTTTATTTCCTTGACATCTGCTGGGAGGGCGTTCCACAGGGCAGGCACCACTACTGAGAAGGCTCTCTGCCTGGTTCCCTGTAACCTCACTTCCTGCAGTGAGGGAACCACCAGAAGGCCTTTGGAGCTGGAGCTGAGAATGGTAGAAAACCACTTCTCATTCTCTTGCATTATGGAAAGGTCCATGCAGAAGGTCCCAGGTTTGATCCTCAGCATCCCCAGCTGAGGGTGGGAGAGACCTCTGCCTGAATCTCTGGAGATCCACTGCCCGTCACTGTAGACAATACTAAGTTAGATGGACCAACGGTCTGATTCAATAGAAGGCAGCTTTCCTATGTTCTGATGTTGCCTCCACTGGATCAAAAGCCATTCTGTGCATGCAACAGTAGCCCTGGATTCCTCCCCCCTGTCATTTCATGGCACATTCTGATTACATAGTACAGGGGGATTTACCAGGGAGCAGCTGTGCAGCCAAAAAGCAAACCGGTGACGGAAATTAATAACCAGGTGTAGAGTGGGCAGGCTTCAGCCCAGGCATCGCTTTGTTTTATGTGTGAATAAAGTCCAGTTGGTGGCACTGCAAAGTCGTGCCTTTCACGGACTGTCAGTAATGATACTAATTTACAGTAAGAAACTTGTAATCGTGTTGGGTTGGATATTTTTTGTTTTTTTTGTTTTTGACTCTCGTCTGCTTCACTGGCATATCCTAAAATAGCACATCAGGCCGTGGTAGTTGTAATTTATTTTAAAGATAGCTGAGCATGCCAAATGCAAACAGCAGGATGTCCTAAAGCTGTCTCCACGCATCTCTGTTCCACCAGCAAGGTTGATCCCATCTAAATTTGGGAGACGCTCTTTAGCCTTTCCAAGTCAATGGCAAGCTGATCAGTTGGATACATTCAGACATGTAGGTAGTTGGGAAATGGCTTCAGTCCAATCTGAGAACCTGGCAACAAGATAATGGGATGGGGGTTTTGAGAGTATTTTTTAAAATATAAGGCTTTGGCACCATGTCAGTCTATTGATTCTAACAGGAAGCACCTCCTGCACGATCATCTTTGAAGTGGACGAGACTTACGCAGCCATGTGGCCAGTCTCTATAGTTAATATTATTTATTATTGTCCAACAATATTTAAATATGGCTCGATCAGCCTCTGAGTGGTTTACATACAATTATTCTAGGCTACATCAAGAGAAATACAGTGTCCAGATCAAGGGAGATAATAGTAAACAGCCCTGTTTAGGGAATCTTTTAATATCTGAAGGACTATTGTATTTTAATATTTTGTTGGAAGTCACCCAGAGTGGCTGGGGAAACCCAGCCATGGGCGGGGTATAAATTATTATTATTATTATAGTCCCACTCTATTCTGCCTTTGTCAGACCACACTTGGAATACTGTGTCCAATTCTGGGCACCACAATTTAAGAAGGACATTGACAAGCTGGAACATGTGCAGAGGAGGGCAACCAAGATGATCACAAGTCTGGAAACCAAGCCTTATGAGGAACGGTTGAAGAAGCTGGGTAGGTTTAGCCTAGAAAAAAGGAGACAGAGGGGAGATATGATAGCTTCTTCAAATGTCTTAAGGACAGTGACATGGAAGATGGAGCAAGCTTGCTTTCTTTTGCTCCAGAGGGTTGGACTTGAAGCAATGGATTCATGTTACAAGAAATGAGATTCTGACTAAACATCTGGAAGAACGTTCTGACAGTAAGAGCTGTTTGACAGTGAAGTGGACTCCCACAGAGGTTGTGGACTCTCCTTCCTTGGAGGCAGTGGCAAAGCTGCATGCTCCACTACCGGGGGTGGAGAGCAGGTGGGGGCGTGGCTGGCGCCCTCCCGGGGGCGTGACGTGTATCCTGGGGGCGTGGTACACTGCCTGCGAGGGCGTGGCAAGCCACCCAAGGGGCGTGGCACGTGTTCTGGGGGTGTGGCGCCCGGCATGTTGGGGGGTGTGTGCGTGGCGTGTGTCTGGAGGGGCTGCCACGATGGCACCCTACTGGAATAGTGGCCGCTCCCTCCGCACTCCCGTTCCTCCGCCAGTGCTTAGAGGTTTTAACACAGAGGTTGGATGGCCATCGTTCATGGGTGCTTTAGTAGAGATTCCTTTATTGCAAAGTGTTGGATTAGATAGTCTTCGGGGTCTCTTACAACTCTATGATTACAACTCTATGATTTTATTATCATAACTGATAAATGATATAGGTAAAGCTAGCAATGAAAAGGTTATAGCTTGGTAGGAGAGCATCTGCTTTGTAAGAAGAAGGCCCCAGGTTCCATCCCTGGCTAGGAGGGAGCCTTGCCTGAGACACCAGGGAGCTGCGACCAGTCAGTATAGACAACACTGAGCTAGATGGTATGACTCAGTACAAGGCAGCTTCATATGTTCCCAATGACATTTGACACTAAGCAAAGCTAACTATGTCCTTAGGGTTAAGCCAAGGGGGTGCAAAAGAATGATAGTGATATGATAATGATGATGATGATGATAATGATAGTAAAAAACCTATATTTATATGGGTACCTATATAAATGAGCAGATCCATAAAAAAGCAACTGTTCCAAAGGAGTTACTGTGAAAATAAGAAATATTTAGGGAGTGGTCACCAAATTTTGTCCTCACTCAGGTCTTCATATTACCAGATTCCTCTCCTGGTGCAAGGAAGGGGGAAGTCCCATTGTGCAAATGGGAATTCTCACACAGTCATTGAGTACCTCTCCATGTAATGGATGAATTTTATGCATTGTTTTGGGGAGATGGCGGTCCTAAAAACCCCCGCATTGAAACCTTAAAATAAATAAATAAACATACCCCCCTTTATACACCTGTGTTAAGTCACTGGACCAAAAAGAGGAGTGATCATCTGAGCTTGCCTCTATAATAGTGATGGTGGTCCCCTGGGGCCAAGTGTCTGGACTCTCCCTGGTTAAGCTGCTGAGGAGCCAGATTCTCTACCTGTCTGCTCCATCAGTGCTATTATTATTTGTCTACTACCTGGAGTATTACATAGAAAGATTAGAGAAACATTTTATAAATAAGTAAATAAGCTTGAGAGGCTTCTGTGACCTATGCTTTATTCATGAACCAAAGCTACTTCAGCAATATCCCAAACTTTGAGAGCGTTGTTGAGAAGCAATACTGAAGCTTAAGGAATATGTAAAATGACTTTCATCCCATTTTCTGCCTGAGATGCTGTGGGGGAGAGACAACAGTGGTGTTGGCAAAGTTACTCTTTCAAGGGGTAATGAACAGGAAAGGTTATCAGATCTCTCAACCACTGGAGTTAAACTCTAGAGGCCAGTGGACTTCTCAAATAATTGAAAAGAACCTTGAAAATAGGCCACGTATCCAGCAAATTGTGGATGTTTTCTGTAGAGATTCCAGTGACATTCTGGTGCCTAAAGTGCTTGAGAGGTGGCTCTTAAGATTTTGAGCTTTGGTCCATCACGTCCCCATCGATGGGCAATCCGACTTTTCCATATCAGCTGATTTCCCCTTGTTTTCAGCAAGATATGGAACTCAATCACAAATAAGTGGGTTTTATCCCCTTGTGTTTGCTACTGTGGTTTGTAAGTACTGATGTGATAATATGTGAAGGTGGGCATTTTGTTAAGAATGGAACTAGATGAACACCTTACAATGCCTATTTCAGGGCCAGGCAACATTCCCCCCCACCCCCGTTTAGGGCTGCATTCCTTTGGGGGAAACCTATAAGGAGCACTTGCCAGGTACAGCAAGAGTCAATAGTGGGTGGGAACAGAGCCAGAACTCTTCTGTTTTAGCTAACCTGGAAAAGCCATAGCATCATAAAATTGTAGAGTTGGAAGGGAACCCAAAGGTCATCTAGTCCAACCCCCTGCAATGCAGGAATTCTGCCCCTAAAGCTTAAGCTACTAGCTGAATGATCCCTGCGGTTGCATTTCGTACAAGAATACAGTGGTACCTCGAGTTACATACGCTTCAGGTTACAGACTCCGCTAACCCAGAAATAGTACCTCGGGTTAAGAACTTTGCTTCAGGATGAGAACAGATATTGTGCTCTGGCGGCGCGGCGGCAGCAGCAGTGGGAGGCCCCATTAGCTAAAGTGGTGCTTCAGGTTAAGAAAAGTTTCAGGTTAAGAACGGACCTCCAGAACGAATTAAGTACTTAACCTGAGGTACCATTGTAATCCTGCCCCCAGCACCACTTTGCTACCAGGATAAAGTATACTGAGGACAGTTCCCAAGATAATCAATCAGCTAAATGATTTCCTAGAACACTAACGGAATCTGTCATTATGTTTATTCCAGGTTATTCCCCCTTGTCATTTCCAAAAATTTCAGTGAAGCTATTAATTGGCCTTTTAATTTCTTTCAGGTTGTTGGCTGTAGGCCTAAGGCACTTGTGAGCAAGCAAGCAGGAACTGGGAAACTGGGACCACTTATTGGAAGAAGCAACGCCAAGCACACTGACGGGCAAACGCCTTACAGATTGCCATCTTTGGAGGAAGCCGGTAAAGAATTATAGCAATGCTTTTGTGTTATAGCAGTCCTGAGGCTCTGCCTTCACTGAATGACTGAATGAGGTTGGACTGGAGACTCTGCTTGCTATGGATAAAACAGATCTGAGGATTAGGCCATCCATGTGGAACCACTGGAAATATGGAGATTACAGGTCTACGGAAGCCACCTCAGAAATTTATCATAGCCAATGTGGGACCTTCTTGATGTTGGTCTACTCCAATCCCCACCATCCTTGGCCACTGGCCATAACAGGAGTTGGAGCCTGACAGTATCTGGAGGATACAACATTGGCTGTAGACTAAAGACTGGAAATCTTTAAGGTGCCCAAAATTCTGTTGCTTGTTTTTGCTATAACAGTCCAACACATCTGGCACAGATGTGGGGCTAGGGTAGGATTAGCTGTCTGGAAGTGAATTCTCAAGGGAACAGATTAGACTATATTCAAGAGAGGCAGCAATTTTATTTATAGGTTTATTTACAAGCCTATTTTGTTGCTGGGCTCAACATTTAGCTTTGGATAAGATGCCCTGTTTTTGCTCCTATTGGGAAATATTGCATTTTATTTTAAGGCATTGCATCAATATTTATTATCACGAGAGGTTTGTTTAGACTCCTAATGTTAGTATGTCTAGTTATTTAAATGGTGTTTTGCAATTGTTAATTAATTTTCTTGAAATGTTGTGCCATTATATTCCATATGCTGTTGGGAGCCCCTTTGAGCATTGTTTTACTGCAGAAAAAAGACACACACACAAACTCATGTTGATTATGATGGTTTTAAGCATTAGTGTACACCATCCTGCTTTTCAGTGGTTGATAAAGCAGAGCCATATATACAAGGATCCACCTAGATCAGGGTTGGGGGATATTTTCAGTCCAAGACTTGCATCCACTTATGGGGAACCTTGAAGGGACTGGATCCTAGTGATAGGTGGGTTCAGAGGCGATAATAATAATAATAATAATAATAATACCACCCCGCTCATCTGGCTTTGTTTCCCTACTCACTCTGGGTGGCTTCCAGCATATATAAAACCATAATTAAACATCAAACATTAAAAACCTCCCTGTACAGGGCTGCCTTCAGATGTCTTCTAAATGTCAAACAGTTGTTTCCTTGGCATCTGATGGGAAGGCGTTCCACAGGGCATCTGCCACTGCCAAGAAGGACCTTTGCTTGGCTGGCAGATATGGGATGAATTGTAGCTCCTCTCCTCCTCCTCCTCTTATTATTTTGTGGTAGACATTCCAGCAATGCAAAACTCTGAGATCTGTGCATGGATGCTTCCCTTAGCTTACTGATTATTCAAATTTTGTTGCATTTTGTAATTTATGTAATTGTGTGTGTGTGTGTGTGTGTTGTGAGCTGCCTTGAGCCTGGCCAAGTCTCCCAGGTCCTTGTCCGACACACTCTAACCACTGCACCGCACTGCCTCTCAAACATATCTGAGCTCAGATTTCCCAGCTGCTTCACCTCCAGCAGGACCTCGTGAAAACTTTCCGTGGAAACTTCTGCCATTTGATGAAAGCCCTTGGACAGCGTTTTGAAAAGCCGCCTTTGGCTCGCAGCTCCTTAATCTTAGGTAATTCCAATCAAGACCTTTCTTCGTCTCGTTTTGTTTGGTAGCTTCACCCCTCACACAGGAGGCCCTGAGCTGTCGTGGTTGGTAATCAATTTGGCGGTAATTATGGGCTTGCCGAGCAATTGCTTCGTTGAATGCACTGTACTCCCACTGCTACAATAAATAGCAAACAATTTCACGAAGGCTTAGAAAATGACGGCGGCCGAGCGAGCGAACTGAATTCCCACACTGTGCCATTTTCACCCTCATAACCTTTTGAAGACATTGGGGTGAGAGTGAATAAGCTCACTGCCTCCCTCCGTCGCAAAAGAATGGAAGTTGCTTATGTAGGAGAAAGGACTGGGTCATAATTGCAGCCATTGCTCCCCCATACTTTCTCAGGATTAATCCTAGTGCATACTTTGGGGGAAGAGGTTCTTCTGGCTTTAGGAGCATATAGTACAACCATGACAAGTTCCCCTATTTTCCAGGGCCAGTCCCAGATTTACAGAAGCCCTCCCAGTTTCTGATTTGATCCTGGAATGTCCCGTTTTTCCTTAGGCTGTCCCTATTTCCATTGGAGAAATGTTGGAGGGTACGGTGTTATTGTCAGGAGTTCAGCCTACACTCGAGTAGGACCCAGGCAGAGGCACATGCCCGACTGGCATGTTCTCTCCCTCCTGGTTGATCGTTCAGGAGCTTCAAAAGCTTTCTTCAGCCCGAACATCACAGCGACCGATGCCAACCGACACCGGCACACTTAGGGATCCGCAGAGTTTGTGCATCATGCGCATGACAGACCTCAGCAACTCAGCATTTTGGCTAATCTACTTTATTTACATATAAACACACACAGAGCACTGCAACATGGCTCCCTCTCTCTCTAGCATCAGACAGCAAAGAGAAAAAGAACAAAGGACAATAGTCCCACCTCATGGAACACAGTAACACAAACATCCTGTCTCCGTCACTTCCCACTCTGTGGAGTCAAAACATATACCATCATGTGAAAGAGAAAAATCCCATGACTGCAATCATAGATCAGGAATTCTAACAGTTATGTGACCCCTGAGCCAAGGAGATAAGTATCTATATAACCTCTAGAAAACCTCTGAAGGCAGCCCTGCACAGGGAAGTTTTTTAATGTTTAATGTTTTATTATGTTTGTATACATCAGGCTTCCTCAAACTCAGCCCTCCAGATGTTTTGGGACTACAATTCCCATCATCCCCGA